GGGAGGGGGAGGGGGAGGGGAGGGGGAAAAATCGTGATAAGTTCCGCTCGTCCGGCACGGTTGCCGAAAGTAAAGGAGGGAACTCGATTTTTTGTCTGGATATTAACGGAACGGAGCGTTCCTGAATATATATCGGCGTTCACCCCCCGAGGGGGCCTCTCCGCAGCATCTCGCAGCCGGAGGGTAGGGGAGCGTACATATAAAGGCGAGAGCCCCGTGCTCCGGGGGCCCAGTACCGTTCAAAGATGCAGGCTGCCGGGACGTTGCGTGGTACCACCAGGGTCATCTCCCTTCTGGTATTGCTGGTATCTCTCATTGGCCGTGCCTGTGAGTAGAAAGGACGAGTCCCGACCTGAGACCGAGAGCCGATAGTGCGACACACGACGATGAACGCGAGTCGCGCGATTTGTGGAGGATCGCAGTGTGCTGTGCAGTGATCGCGATCCGGGATTCTACCATTCAGTGCGCTACCTCGAGGACCCCCTCGTCGCGAATGATAAATCTGAAACACGGAGCATCGCTCGCACACGGAGTCGCTTGCCTAGAACGACCGAATTAAGGAACGTCTCGCTCAGAAGTATCTTCGTCTTTCGGTCACGCGCGAGGATCGATGAATGTTGGGGAATCGAGTCCTCGAGGAGGCGGATGGCGATTCGGTCTCCCGATAACTTCCGCTGGACTTTGCTTTAGTCTAATTAGAGTGTCCTGTGGAAAAAGGTTTCTTTAGATTTTGTTTTTTATTTGTCTGGCTAAAATTTGCCTCACCGAAACAACACGAGATATTGTGCGGTTTGAGTGAGAATTTTATCGTCTCGTTCAGAGAAACCCTGTTATTTGACAGAAAGAACGCTGTTAATTTGAAGCAATATCTTTGGACCGAATAAAATATTATTTGGTTGCAATGAAGATGTAAAATGTAACGAATAATTACTTTATAAGAAAATTATCTTTCGTTTTAAACAAACCTTTTTATTTGAGGTGAAGATACATATTCGTTGAACAGTCTAACGATCGTACTTATTAATCGAGACATTAGTTTCTTTGGAGCATGCCAATGATGAAGCTTGTTCGGATGCGATGGAATTTATGAAATTTGAAGAAATCCTTTTCTCAGTGCAGATGTCCAAAATGAAAGGCCGACATGCGTCGAAGGAGGACACGTTTGAAAATCTATCCGATTCGCGTCATGTTACGACGAAATTTCTGAAAATTGCGCTCGTTTATTTTCTCTCGAAATACTAAATAGAACAGAAAGGCTGATCGGGCGAAAAATATTATATATTTGGGCGCAAAATGTCGGTGAATCGAGTTTATCGAGGAAACAAAGAGATAACGATTGCCCTTTCGACCGTTTCCACCGTACTTTGCTTTTCGATCGAATTCGAATTCGCGACGTGGATATTCCAAAATTAGATATCGAGATGCGTCGAGAAAGAAGGATAAGTTTCGCGATATATCCGTCTCGATATCACTGCGAAATCTTGAAAGATCACACTCACTGTTTACTTTCCCTCGAGACGAGATGAAATAGAAAGACCGATGAGCTCGGCATAAAAGCGATTCAGCGAAATCGCCGGTTGCTACTTGCACACTGCCATCCACACGTGGTGGGATCTAAATCATGCACCTACCGAGCGCTTGATCTAGCTAATGGCCGTGCACGCGATTAAATATCCGCATTGCTATCATAGCCAATAAGCCCGCCGAGTGCGCCGTTTCCAACCGCGCAATCATCCGCATGCGCGTCGAACACGCGCGGTTTTCTCACCGGCCGTTCTCATCTCAGCCTCGTGTTCTCCCGATTCTTTCTTTTAGATTCGCTTCCTCTTCAATATTTACCCAGCATCCCCGGCTACGTTCCGGTTTACATAAGATACGGGGATGAACCGTTGGAGGATATAAATCCCGAGTTGGCCGAAGCTTTCGGGGAGGCGTCGAGTTCGGCTAAGGTACGCTCCGATATCGCGCTTGTTAATGCGAGAAGAACGTCTCTCGGCGAAGGAGAGATATCTTTTTCTCTCAGTGTGGATATTCTAAAGCACAGATCGAGATACGTCGGAGAACGACAGGTTTTCAAATCGATTCGTCTCGTATTGTATATATAAAATTTCTAAAAAATTACGCTCATTCATTACATTCGCGTTTATTCGGAAGCGTGGGAATTTCGACGATTCGCACGGTTGATTTTTATATACTCGACCCGAACTTTGCAGCTAGACCGTACGCTCGCCCACGAGCCTGACAACTTTAAGGATAACGACATCGACGCACTCCTGGAGGAGTCCGCGGAGAAGCACGCTTATCCGCTGCGCATCCGAGCAACGGAGAGCCGCTCGTTCGCCACCGTGAACGATGACGAGCCGGGAAACAAGCCGAAACTTTTGACCATCTATCAGTTGCCCGATGACAACGAGAACAGGCGTAATCGCGGCCGCAGTCGCGGACGCAATCGGAACAGATCCAGGCCGAGACACGCAAATTGGGGACCACCTACACTTAAGGTATGAAACTCGATGAAATAAATTGAGACGATCAGGGAAGCCAGCAAGCGGTGGTTGAAAACGCGTGAAAATAATGGGCGACCGTATGGTTGCTAGAACCGTGTCAAACGAATGTTTCGGCGAAATGTTCCTTTGTAAATTATTACTATGTTAAAAGTGACCCAAGATGGAACCGACGTTTGTTTTCGCTTAATATAATCCTGCCAGCCATACGGTTGTATTTTATTTTTGCACGTTTTTAACCAGCGTTTGTTCCTGTGCACGGAGAGAATATTGTAATGAAAATGATCGCAAAAACTTTCTATGTTGGAACATACCGGAATTATTGTCGAAATTACTACGTGCGTTGTAATCTTTAATGATGTATACATACGCGATATGCATCACTAAAGATTACAACGCAACATAGTAATTCCGATAATAATTCCGGTATATACCGGCATTGCAAACATTTGTAGTAATTTTCTGCAATATTTCCTCCGTGTGAGTCTTCCAGCTCGTCTTAATTAATTTTTAATCTAAGAGCGTTTACTTTGATTTGGTTAATTAAATAAATTAATTAAATCGAACCACACGTTTCTGCGCTGACAGTTCTCAAAAATATTACGAAGGAGAATTCTTGGGATGATTTTATCATTTCTTTTTCAAAGACAAATCTGGGGAAAATAATTTACCAATTTCTCTCTCTCTCTCTCTCTCTCTTTCTCTTTGCGTTAAAGCATATAATTATATAAAATCAGCCCGATGATTCACTACAAGTGACGACTTCATCATGTGGTAATAATACTTTTACCATTAAAAATAAAGATTGCTTCACGTAAAGCGCGCCGCGACAAACAACAACTCGTCAATTCCGAGAAGAGGCATTACTAATTTGAATATATGGCATTTTCGATTTCTGCACATCTATCTCGATTGACGTTCGCGTGTAATCTACAAGGGAGATCTCTGTGAGTCAGCCGGCTCGTCGTTTGTCGTTTCATCGACACGCGGCGTTTAAAGATCCTATCTACCCGGTGATTGAGCCACCTCGTAAGGTGGACTGCCGTGGTGCGTAAACGCATAAACACCTTCAATTTATTCCCGACAAATGCAAGATGATGGCTCTCACGATTGGATAAATCGCTTCATTTCGTCGCGACCTGAAGTTTCCAACAAGTTGAGGAAGAAAATTCAACCGGTTTTACGATTTGCATCCTCAATGTCTAAAATTATGACAGAAACGGCAAACCCCTTCCTATTTGGTATTTGTTATTGTACAAAAGGGCAGCCCTTCGGTGTATTCCAAGCAGATTCGCGTCAAGAAGTTAAAACGATCTGTTAAAAAAAAAAAAAAACAAAGGACAGACTCATAAGACGAATTACAGAAATGTAATGTAAAATAAATAAAACGAAAATAAACAAAAATATAAAATACGTATAGGAGATTTAAAAATATAAAAAATATAAAATAAAATTTAAAGTATAATTGATGCTTAAACGTGGACGCGTAACGCGTTCAAGGAATAATCATGCGCTTTATTTTAACGTAATATATGAAATAAGAAGATTTATACCGTGCGCGAAACATCTTGCAGGTCAGCCCACTGTCCGATGCGGAGAAGGAGGAGCTGGAGAAGCTGGCGATCGAGGTCGAAAAGGAAGAGACCAAGCCAAACGAGCTCTACGCTCCGAGTTCGAAATCGTCCGAATTACCTCACGCGACGGCGCGCAATCGGCACAGGGCGCACAAGTTTGCCGCGCCGATAAAAGTGCAGGATCCGCTCGACGAGAGCTCCTCGTCGGATCTCTCTCAGGAAATTTCTCAGGCGGCGGACCTCCCGGAGCCCTCGCGCAATCGCAACCACGGCAGACCTAGAGCAGGTAAAGAAGATTGCCCGATTAAAGAGTGACGTCTTGTCGAATGTAGATAAAATGTCCTCCATTGATTCGGCAGACAAGAGCAGGGCCGATGCTGCACCCGAAGCTGGTAAACGTGAACGTAAACACGAGCCGCCCGTCAAGGAGCAACGTCCAGCCACGATTTTGTCGAACGTGGATAAAATATCGCCTATCGATTTGCCGGAAAGCGCCGCCGAGAAGGGTGACAAACCAAGGAACACCACGGAGGCGAACGACGAGATCGCGATGGAGTAGACGCGACCCGCCTTTAGTCTAAATTTCTTATAACTTATTTTTCGTAGCGATACAAGGTGCGCGCCAGAGGGATCACCCGCATTTTCCTTCGTCACCGATCGTTCGATGAGTTTTCGATTTTTCTCAGCGAGAAGCTCGCGGGGAGCCGTGGATTCGTGTTGCGACATTCTTGATCTCCGTGTATTAAACAATACAGTTTGAGCTCACCGATTTGAAATTGATTATTCTTTCGCACAGTCACGATAATTAGGAGGCCATCCCATCGGATCATTGGCCGCAGAGAGAAAATTTGGTCTGAATTCGTCGGAAAGCCGGAGAACAGCGTGATTGGTTGTGGATATATTCCGTGTATTAACGAAGAAATAAGGTAGAGAAGCCACGCGAGGGCACTTCCGCGAGAGTTTTAGTTCGTACTATTTATGGTGCGATGACCTGTTTGAGGCGTCGCGCGGAGGATACATATTTTACCGCACAGTGGGCATTTACGGTCTCCTTGGTGGCTGTTACTGCTTCCGTGCTTGTAAAGTTTGTTTGCGCATTGTAAATTATGTTAACGATACGACAAGCATCGTGTAAAGTTACTAGAACGTTTCTAATAAAACGCCGCCGCACATCTCGTGTGTTAACATTTACTCACCGTATTTTATACTTCTTTCTCGTGCCGATCTCTCTTTTATAGTAAGTGCAAAGAAACGCTGTAAAAGTACAGATTGCTACTGACAGTATACGAAAGCCAAGGTTAAGTAATAACTGGTTGATCAGTTAAAAGTTAAGTTAAAATGTTAATAATTTTCGACTTGGTTAATTTAAAATGAGTGAACCTTTTAACTTGAACTAATAATTTAAAATGCGTTAACTTTAAATCATTAATTCGTTTGATATAAGTGAAAATAATTCATCAACATTAAAATCATTGCCCGAGCTGCTTACAAGAAAAAATAAGAAAAATGGAAAATAGCAGATTTTCTTTTCGTCTCTCTGAGCTTCTTTTTCTACAAAACTACTAAGCATGAAAGAGTCGATATTTTGTTTTTATATATAATAGACTATTTTTTTATTATTTCACATATATTTAACTTACAAAAAGGTATTTACGCAAGAAAATATATACGCACATGATTTTGTCTAATTAATTCTTAACTTCGACAAGTTAATTTAATTTCAACCTAACTTTTAATTAAGCTAATTTCTGCTTAGGTAACTTTTAATTTAACCAAGTTCATTTTACAGGCCGATAACTTTCAACTTAACTTAATTAGAATTAGAAATGGGCTTACCTAACCCTGACAAAAGCGAACAGATCGTCCAAAGATGACACAGAAAACAGCGAATTTTTTTCGACGGCGTGAAACATTTATTGAATAACGTTGCTACAATGTTTTTGTGAGTTTTCGCATACTTCCCTCATCTGATCCCACTTGGGTCGATCGATTGTTAATGAATTCGCGCCGTCGGGAGTGTTATTTTCCGACGTATTATAGATTCGCCCGTATCTAATAATTCTTTTATTATCGTTTGCCGCTCGTGCAAATTGTCTACGTCCGATTACGTATTTCGTAGTCCTCGCCGTCAGGTTTCAAAGCTAAGACCACCTCGATGGTACGTGGATTAATCTCGGTGGAAGCGAGGGAAGCGTTATTTAATCTACGAAGCGTATCGTCGTCGACACCGACGTCCAAGTTGTTCCTACGGTCGCGCCGAAATCTCTTGCTGGCGAGAAGGAACACGTTGTTCCCGAGTTTGCACGTGTACGAAGGAACATTCTCGCCTACATCCGTTATGTAAACATCTCCCTTGGCTCGGCAGCGAACGGATCGCTGCTTGATTTCGCCGTTCGCCGCACGATTAGAGACACCATTGGAAGATAACCCGAGAGGTGTGATCGAAGACGTCACTCTCGTATTTTCCACGGTATTCCCCGCGGAATTGTCATCGTCCAGTGAGTATGTAGATTTTCCTCGCGCGTCGATCCCGGTTTCCTTCGAACGTCGAGCGGTGATAACGGGATCCCCTCCGGCCACCCGGACTTTGGCGATCCTCGACAAAGCGGCGATCATGCGCGCATCTCTCTGACAATCCTTGCATCTCAGGAATTGATTTCGATGCTCTTCCTTCTCGGAGGATGCTTCTCTCTCGCGTCGGTGGCCCGTTGCTCCCTGACAGTCCAGGCGGACGGGAGCCTTTTGGATTTTGATTGACGCTTCAATGGTACCACTGGTATCAAGTGACGGTTTGAATGACGGATCCTCTTCTTCACCACTACCGTCGTCCACGCTATCAATCGCGCTACCTGTTGTCCATCGTTGATCTTCGTGACCCTTTGGTAACGTGCGGCTGTACACCGGGATGAAACCCGACACTAGCCCGAAGATAATCGTCAGCCAACGTATCGGCATCATTTCGAGACAGTCAATAGAATCTCACGTGTGCACATCTGAATTGTGTTTGTTGTCAGAAACCAACGTGGTCAAGTACACAGGTTTTACCACGACAGGTTTCAGCGGTTGCGATGTCGCAGGAGGTACTGACTGCGACGGAGAATAAGAAAGTTCGTGTGAACGTACGAACGAATAAGACGCTTGGGGGGATGACAAAGGGGACTTTATGCTTCGTGCCTTGACTTCCTGTGCCCACTGACCTGATCTCCCCCTCGCACGTCGCTCGCGCAACCGTAAGATTGAAAATTCACTCGTATTATTCGGCGAAACATTCCCTTACGGAAAAGTATTACTGCCTGTGATAAATCGGCGAGTAATAAATTACCGTTGCTCAGTAATTTTATTATTCGTACGAGTACGATAACGAAATCAATCTGGGCAACGATCATTCATCACTGGCCAATTTATTATGGGCGATGATATTTTTTTGCAAGGGTTGTCCACTTCGTACAGCTCGGAAAATAAATTTTTTTGTAGCAAGAAGTGAACGACATTGGATAGAAATACGTTTTCCAGGAAGTATTCTTTATTAGGAAGAGAAATATTAATTAACAATGGCATAACTACGAATCAAGTTGTTGAAAGTAACATTTGATAAATGAAAATCTTACAAGAGGATTTATATTTATCGTAGAAGCCAGATTTAATGTATATTTAGATATTTAATGTATATGTTTGCATCTTTATAGTATTTATATATATAATTTATTGGGTGAATAAAATTAAATTGTTTCTATGGGACTACTTTATTCGTGAAAGTTTGATTGTAACAATTTCATTTCCGCGTGTAAACATAAATCAGGGTTACCCAGCCGAAGCGTATTCATCTGATGGTAACTAATGCACGATTTTAACTCATGATAACATTAAATTTAGGAACAATTTTTTAAAGAGAGGAGAAAATGTCTACCAAATAAAGGTAGACTCGAGATTTTCTAAGTTTCAATATAACAAACATATTTAAACATATATTTGCGCACATTATAACTACAAAAAAGATAGATTATGATACTTACTGCATAAATGCGACTTTATCAATAGAAGATAAAGTCATTCGATGTAATACAATATATTTATGTCATACAATAATGGTCGGTGTTGAGAAAAAATTTAACGTCTAAATAATTGATTTAAAAAGTATCGATTGTTACTAATGAAATTTAGCATCAAATTCATTATTGGATTAAAAACTGTAAACACACGCATTAATCTAAGTTGGAAATAACATAAGAATATTATTGATCCTTCGACAAAAAAATTAATTCATTACGTTAGGCCATAGGCCAGTATTCATAATTAAATTTCATATTTAAGATCGTTTTAAGTTTATTTTTAGATGCTTCACAGCCAATGAAACAAGATGCTGTACAGCATCTGAAGATAAACTAGGACGAACTTAGATATAAGATTTGACATAGGTTAAGCTCGTTTTAGGCTAAAAACTCTTTCGTGCTAAAAACGTTATTACATCCTTATTGCTCATTATATGCTAAAGGAAGATAAAACGATACTTTCAACACAAAAACGTACAAAACAAACTTAGCCTGCAGATACGTTCAGAAAACGTGCCATTAGCGTTAAAGCTTCATCCTTATTTTATATTTAATAAGCGATAAAGATCAAATGAATAAGAAAGAGTAAGAAATAGAAAATGAATAAAATAGAATAAGAAAAAGAATGATAGAACAGCTTCAGTACAGATAACACGCTTTCGAACATAACCTATAAATACCGCGTATGATCGACCAGAAACCAAAGTCTGTTCTTAATACGCAGTGCATACTCACGGAGCTTGAAAAGAAACAGATATACAGTTGTAACTTCGTGTGAAAGAAAGAGGGTAATAGAATCAGTGTGAGTCGGCTCGGCTGTAAAGAAGAAGAACAGACCTTCGATGTTCGTACGCGCTGGATCTGCGAGGTTGCGCTTATAGGGGAGCGAGGGGGGTGGGGAAAGAGGAAGAGATGAATGCAAGTGCAGAAAGTGCAGTGCGACCAAGTCCATTGCGTGTGTCCGGCGCGGATGCGCTGTACGATGTCAACAATTCGTTCGTGCAACGTGAGGAGCGCAATTCTTTCTTTTACCGTTCGGTATTGCACACGCACCAAAGAGAAGTGAATTTACCTATGGTCCGTCTGCGTAAGTAAATTCATTACTTTTACAAATACGTTCGGTCAGACTGCGCACGTCATACAGTTTCGATCGTGCGATAAGTCTTGGTTGGTAAAAAGTATGAAAAGAATTATAAATTCAAACTCTCCACGTGATATAACCTTAAAATTAGCTTGTGTAGTGGCGAAGGAACGAACCTCCGCGAATAATCCGCGATTCTACCGATGTGTCGTTCGGTAGAAATAATCAAAATGATTTGACATCACGCTCTTGATCCCTTGTAGCGATATCATTTTTCCAAAACATTTCGATTTTTCGCGAACTGTAAACATCACTCGTGTTCTGAGCGTGTGGTCATGTTGTGATCAGATGATTTGGATAGTTGATGCACGTTCAATAAGACTTCTATCAAATCCCGATTAATTTCCTGCTGGACACAACCACTTTTACCAACTAAAAGTGTGTAAGTGTGCATAAGCGAATGTAATAAGTGAATTATAATGTGAATAAGAGATAAGTAGGAAATATAGCGGCATAAAACAAATATTGAAAACTTTCGGATCGTCATTTATCGCAATTAACATTGTTATATCCATTATATTGCGTTCGTAAGTCAATAAGTTTCATTGTAATTTATACTCGCCTGATTCAATCTCCTTGTAATAATTAAAACCTTAATAAAATGTCAAGAAAAAGGAAGCGGATCTTATTTGAAAGAGATCCTTTCGTTTCATTGTTTCACCTCGTTTAGTGATCTTGAGGAAATCAAAATACGATATAATATATTTTCGATTTTGCTGAGCGCCAACTTAACTAAATACACGTGTCTCACGTTATCCTATTAATTACACACTAACCGGTTAATTGGATGTTCACCAGCGAGAAGATATTAAATATTTTGATAAATGTCTTTTTAATCGATATGCATCTTGAAATCTTCTCATCGATAAAAATTCAGTTATGAATATTTATTTGAGATATCGCCTTGAATATTTACATCCGAAGACATGTAGACAGGATGTGTGTGTGTGTGTGTGTCTGTGTGGATAGATTTCAGAAATTTATCTTGGCTGATTTCTGTTCTAGCGGGTAAACAATTCAATCGATGATCGTTATTTTCATCAAATAAAGTGACATGGCTGGACAACAACATCCTTTCTTGTCCGGGTTTCCCAATGTACAGCAGACCGCTTTACGTACACAGTTTGGCGGCGGACAGATGGTTTCTGGTTTAATGGGACCGCAGCAAGGAAGTAAGCCTGTAACAATTTTATTCTAATTATAATATATATGTACATATATTTGATAATTGTATATCTTTCAACGACGTAGTCTCGCGTGTCGTAAGTAAGTACTTCGCACATCAGTGTTTACTTGATAAATGTTGACTCAAGGCAGCCTTTATTGTCCTCTATTTGATATCCCGAGACGGTTGTAGGTCTGGCTAGCTGTCGGACAGATATTAGTATTCGGAGAATAATAGCATGTACCTGATGTTAAAGCGTAGTAACAGTATACTTACTTTATACTGAGAACTGAGAAAATAGTAATGACATATGAAGAATCATGGACGACGACGAGGTTCTCAGCGATAAAAACGAAACACTTTCTTCTTCTCTTCCTTCTCCTTCGAACGACACTTCGCACAAGAAAGATGGTACATCGAAGCCTTCGTTAGACGGGCCGGATAATTTTGAGTATCAGTTTTCATTAAATTGTTATAAGAATGATATTACTAATAGTTCAAATTACTCGGTGAATTTATATTTGGGACGCGTCGTTATACGTCAGTTAATCGTTCGAAAGGCAGCGGGGATCAACATTTCTGGCCGATATTTGTATCGGCGTGATGTCCGATGGCGCGCGTGCTCTATAAAATGGGCCGAGCAAAGTTTCGGGAGCGATTAGTTGAAGTGAAACGAAACATTTCTGTCGCAGACATAGTGAATCCTCAGCAATTCGGCGTGGGAGTAGGCGTTGGAGTGGGCGTCGGTAACGTCGGCTCGAACGCAATGGGGATGCCCAGCTCTCAGCAAGTCTTGGCGCAGCAGCAGCAACAACAGCAGTCCATCGCGATGCAACAGCAGATGCAACAGATACAGCAGCAACAGTTGCAGCTGCAGCATCAACAGCAGGCCGCGATGGTTCAACAGAACAGCCAAGCCGGCAATCAAGCCACAACACCGCAGACTCCAGTCCCACCTACTCAACCGCCGCCGCAGCCGCAGCAAAATAAGGAATTCAACACCGCCAGTCTGTGCAGATTCGGGCAGGAGACGGTCCAGGAAATCGTCAGCCGTACCTTAGAACTCTTCCAAACCCTTAAAGTCGTGCAACCACCTAATGGTATCTTTCCGTAATACAACAGTGGCAACATACTATTTATTTTTATTTTTATTTATTTATTTATTTTTTTAAGGAATACCCCGATGGAAATATTTTTCCCGAGATACTCTCGCAATTGGCGCAATTTCATTAATATACGCAGTTTTCAGTTTAATTCAGTAAATTTCCTGATATCTAATATTTCAGAATGTTTTCCATTACTTTTCAGCATTATATTTTAATTTATATTCTATTTCACTGCGTTACCGTCGAACACCATGACGAAAATTATGATTTATCTTGATGTAATTATTATTATATATTTCGGTAAGTTTTCCGTGACTTTCATCAAGTTCAAAGTATACCAGTACTCGAATACAAGGAAAGTTTAAGTTATACCGCTAAAATTTACTGAATTTAACTGAAAATTGCGCGCATCGACGGAATGATGATGACGAAATGAGGCTAGTTGGGAGAGAATTTCAGTGAAATTTTCAGCACGATGTTTCCCATCGGGGTAGATTCACTTGATATTGTCAGATATTTATTTTCACAAATTCACAGGTACAGCACAAGGGGCGAATATGGCGAATGAGAAGAAGACTAAGGTCCACGAGCAACTGAGGATGTTAAAAATGCTATTTAAACGTTTAAGACTGATATACGAGAAATGTAACGAGAACTGTCAGTTACAAGGTATGGAGTACACACATATAGAAAGTTTGATCCCGTTGAAGGAAGAGTGGGATATGAAGTCGGACGAGAAGAAAACATCGGAAGCTTATAGGCTTGCTTGCGAAGAGAGCAAAGAAATCATGGAGGTAAGAGCGCCGAGACTGTTGCAAATATATGGTTAACGCGTGTCGTTGTCACATTGAATGTCAAATAAAAGCAAATATTTTGTTGTTTTTTTTTCTCTCCTTTTCAGCAAGTAATATTGAAAAATAGGCATCTTAAGGAGATAATCGACCACCTAAGACGTATTATCTCCGAGATAAACACGATGCTGAGTATGCGGCGATCTTAGAAACTACCAAATGTACCTCGAATCCAGTTTAGCGTAAGAGCGTCTCGCAGAATCACTCGGCATATTCAAGATGTCCTGGATATCTCGGGACGTACTCAGGATGTCTCGCGCTGTCTGAGAATTATTTCTGTAAATGGATATTAGATATGTTTCCGAAAGTAAAACTAATTGAATAAGATATCTGGTAAATCACTTCATAATATATACCTATTTATTTTCGCTCGTTGTTCTTGCTCCACCTTCTTACTGATCGACACTTATATCGCCGATGTTTAAGTGGATGACGTCGCTGCCTCGCAGGATGGCCTCCGGTACCTTTCCAATCGGCGTTTCCAGATTTCTCACGAAGATCTCGGAAAATCCCACATCGCAACCTCTGAACTCACCCGACACGCGTGTGTTCTCGTGCAAATGAAATTCCGCCTGCTTGCCTGTAATGTCGGGATATTCGAATCATCGGCCAGTGACGATTAATGCGAAAACAATAATTAATTAACGAGTGGCTCGACAAATAAGTACAATAAAGAGAAAAACGGTGGACTTGGAGTTTAATTTAAATTATCGGCGCCTATTAAACGTATATCGGTGCGCATTGCCGAGAAATATTTATCATATAGGCAACAATAATTGGAACTTTTGATCGCAGCGCTCGCTATAAAGCCGGTGAACGACTGGCGCCATATTTGGGCGGTTTTCAAGAAAACATCTAGGCATTAAAACTTCAATATTGTAAATATTGTTTATCAGGCGTCATAATGCTTTAACATTACAATTAGGGTTACTCGTACGATTAGCGAGGTTAAAACGTCGTAGGAACAACATGTTAGAACATGTTAGAACAAATATGGCGCCAGTCGTAGGAACAACATGTTCTAATATGTTCACTAATAGATACCACGCTTGGTACTCGTTTCATCGGTATGTGAACGAGAGTAGCAATTCGAATTTGTCGGATTGTTTGATTAAAATAAAGAGACGATGCGTACGCAAAGATCAAACGAAACCTCTTCTTACCGACAATGCCAGTGACGACACGTAGGAATCGTTCGCGCAAAAACGCGCGGGCCTGCTGCTTCTCGGGAGACGCGAATCCCAAATTGGCCGCGCCGGAAACCACGTCGACTTCCTCCCGCTGGATCATCTTCTGTCGCGAGGACTTCTCAGACTGGCACAACCGAGGTTCAGCTCACGGCGCAGCCAGCGGCAAGTTTGCGCGCGCAGCGAAGATGGACGTTGCCGCCATATTTGAAGTTTCGAGTTGAATTGGGTCGATAATCGCGTTTGAACTGGGTCGATAATCGCGTTTGAATTGGGTCGATAATCGCAGTAGTGCGATTCGAGGCTGCGTAATCATACGAAAGTCGTTTCATCGGTGAACCGAAAGCTTCGCTTAACTTATTTGTATTGTTAATATTTTAAATACATAGAGGAGAAAGTGGTATCTTATGTGTTGTAAAAAATTAACTGGGTATCCATGTAGGAAATACATATGGAATCCCATGACTGCCTTTGAATTTGCGCGAAAAATCTCAAATTCTAAGCGGGAATTTTCGCAAACCATGTGGATCCCTATATGAATTTCCGCACACCGTGTGGATTCCTATACAGATTTTTATTATTCTAAGTGGACTCACATGAGTTCCTACGGACTTTTGTGGGAATCCACTTGGAAATTTTCTACAAGATCATAACCATTGTAGGAAATATGGTCCCCTTTAATATCTCCGTTATTAAACAACGAATTCTAGTGATCCTTCCGACAGTCTCTGTTTACCTTCTGACAAATAAGTATCTGCAAGTCACTGCGTTAAAAATTCATGGTTACATTCATTGTTCTTCCTTCTAAGAGTTTATTTTGGAAAAAATATATACATTTATAATAAAACGCCGTGCTTTCTTTCCTTCTCGACTCACTATGCGGTGTCGCCACATATTTATAAATAAAGCCCTAAATAATAAGTATCTCATAACTTTGAGTCTAGAATCGATTGGCCGACACATTGACAGATCGTAATCGTAAAATGTTCAATCTAAAATGTCGCTTGTTAACAAAGTTATTGTACAAAATGTAAACGGGGACCGTGATACCGCCTTCTCCTCCGATATATCGGAAAACAGGAAAGTGAAAACTGTGTTTGAGCGCAAGTAGCACAATGTGTAGGGCGTACATTCTATATGGGTCCGTTGAAAGTCACCGTAAAAGTATTCCTGAAATGTGACGCACATCAGTGACAAAAGAGTGCGTCACAATTCATATTTCAAAAGAGCCAAAGTCGCAAGTCATCTCAGAGATATTGTTGAAATTCCCTCCCAGGGAAAGCCGCGATGCATAATGTCGAGAAAACGGAGTCTATTGTTCATACCGCCGATAGTGTTTTACGCTCGATGCAAATTTCAGTGCAAAACTCCAGACGTTAATTTAAAACGTGAAATTTCCACATCTACGAGTAGATCGGCGCGTGCCATAAAGCGAGTGACAAAGACGATAGAAGCGAATCAACGTGTTTCCGTTGCGGTGTACACGATTTTGGAGAAAAAAAAATGATAGAATTCGAGTTACGAATTCGTGAATGATAGAGCGATTACGAATGATAGAATTCGGATTACGAATTCGAGAATGACAGAACGATTACGAGTGATTGAAATTCGAGCGAACGAAGTTACGTGACGCGAACTTACCGGCTCTTTCGGCTGATGCACGGCCATCGTTGCAATTTGCATGAATGCTTTACTGTATCAACTTTCGCGTATTATTCGCCGGACTCGGCCAGAAATCTCTCCTGCTACGAAAGTTTCGAAAGCATTCGGACACGTACAGAATAAAGTAATCTCGGATCGTCGATAGCCCACATTTCCTACGCGAGACGCAGTTGCGCGACTAGGAAGGAAGCTTGAATCGATGTAATTACCATACTTATTACGATATCGGGCCGAGCACACTTTCTCGAGAGAGGCGACGGATGAAACATGGGGGCGACCCGCACCTTTTTTAATTTCGTCCAAGAGCGTGGCGCGGTGTCACCTCATTTTCGTTCCGATCACGACGCGGTAACGATGGGCACCCTCATCGTCGTCCTAATAGCCGTCGCCGTGCATTGCAGTGGTAAACAACCGCTCGACATCCGAGCGACATTTCCGCATCGGTTTGCCCGGCGAAGGACCCCCGACACCTTCGACTGTTCCTTCGATTCCGACGACTGTTCTTGTTGCAGAGACGCGTTGCGACACACCACCGGCCGCGATCATCGTCCAGCCCGCTGACAGAGGCTTCTCGATGGGGCCGACGAACGACAGTCACGTGACCGACGAGGGATTTTCCCCGAGGAGCCCGAGTAAGCTGACGAAGATACAGAAGGAGTCGAGGACGAGCCTGGAGGCGAGCAACGAAGTGAACAGGAGGAAGGCGCGATTGTTAGGAGGCCTCGCTTTCCTAGCCGGCCTCAGTTTCGGCGGATTGGCTACTGCGGCGTCTTCCACCGTGAAGACCATCGCCAAGATGCCGCAGGCGTCCTTCATCTTGAATCTAGGACCTTCGAAGGCCTCGCCTTACTTCGCCGCCTATTACACCCCTTACTCCTTCCTACCTTACCCGCTCCTTTATCACGGCCCGTTCGCCTCGTCGACGGCCGATCCCTCGAAGCCCCAAGTGTCGCATCACGACGCATCGCCGCCGCAGGTGATCAGCGTGTCCGTCAACAGAGAGCCGACGACGGAGGATTTCGCGGAGAAGAACGACGAGTACGAGGAGAAGGATCCCGACGACGATAAGAGCGCGGACGGGGCTGAGGATCGGCCGGAATTGCGGGCCGATCGGAACGCGGAAGAGAAGGTAAGGATTTAATAGATCCCGCGGCTCGCCGCGCTGAGCAAATAGAAATCAGAGCAGAAAGCCACGCGACGGTTTTATCTGAAGCATCTCTCTCGGCCGGTGTGTTCCTCGAGACAAGCGCTTTCTCGAAAGAGCCGAAAATACAGGCCGATCGGCCGCGCGATCGAATTCGGATTAATCGCGCGGGAAAAGGCGCGACTTCCGTTAATGCGAAAATAATGTCTCACTCGTGCGTCGTCGGGCGCCGTCTCGCCGCTCGCGTGGTAACACGGTAACATAGTCGGGCGACAGGTGTTTCGCGCGCGACAGGTAATTAAGACTTCCTCCCGTGGCTGTCTGCGCTTTTCCGACGCGCCTCCGCCCGGCTATTTCGTTTTCCGCGCTCTCACTCGCAGCCGCTCGTCTTATTTGCCTTCCCGGTCGCCCCTGTTAAATGTGCGCGCGCGACAAGATAACGCGTCTTCCACCGAGCACACACACACACACACACACACTCGTCGAATCACTAATCGCACAGCCCGCCATTTCGATTTATACACGGAGAAAAGGTTTCTTCGGATTTAGTATTTCTATGTATTCGACTAAAATTCGCTTCATAGAAAGAACATGTACGAAATATCGGTTTGTTTGAGTAAAACTTTTTCATCGTCCCGTTCAGGAAAACTCTATTATTTGACCGGAAGAACGCTGCTGTTTGAAATAATATCTTTTAACCGAGCGAAATATGATTTGGTTTACGATAAATATATGTAAAATGAGACGAATAATTTCTTCGTAAGAAAATTGTCTTTCGTTTCGAATTTTTTCGTCAGATTTAAGATGAAGGCACAGATTCGTTTGAAAAGTCTAACATAGTCGTGCTCGTTAATCGAAACGATAGTTTCTTTGGCGCCAATGGTGGAAATTTGTTTGGATGCAGTGAAATTGATGAAATTCGAGGAGATCTCTTTCTCAGCGTGCCGTATTTCATCGCATTATCGCGAACGAAGGTTCCGCGCTCTCCTGCGTTTCTTCCTCGAAGCGCATCGAGCTTCGACAGAACGAACGAGCGATTCTCAAGGTACTACGTAATTCGTACCTAACATTTTTCCACGCACACGGGAGTTGGGGATCTCCGTCGCGCCCGTGAAAATTTATCAACGCTCTATAAATAATCCAAAGCGCTTTCTCCCGAGGAAGCGAAATCTGCTTTGTTCGCTCGCTCCGATGGTGACGTATCGCGCGTTACATCGTGACCGTTGACCGATCCTGTCGCCGTCAGGTGGTGATACGTGGCTGTAAGGAGGGTCAGAGGAAGCACGACAGTTTCTCCAAAGGATCGGCCAAGGAGCGTGAAGATCTCCAAGTGGATGCCGACCACTCGGCGGCAGCCTTGAAAGCTACGAACATGACTGCCGACGCGAATCAGACCGTGACAAGAGATAGAACTACGACACCAAGACCACATTATTACGTCCCTAAACCGACGCAACCTCCGACGAACATCGGTCATCACGCCGAACGTCCGCACTTTTCAGGATATTATGGCGGATACTCGCAGGATCTGAGCCACGTGGACCTTACGTCAGGCTCGGCCGAGTACCACGTTCCGGATCACGGCCCGATCAATTACAATTTGCCGTACGAGCAGTCCGCTAACTTTTATCGCGATGACGCGTACTCGAGTCATCGCGTCAACCCGTACTTCCCCGGGTCCTTCTCGTCAGACCAAATAAACGGCTACGTGGGCACGGACTTTGGCCCGGTGTACCCTTCGGAGTATCATCCGCCATATGGCGGTGGCTTCAAGCCCGTAAAGTAGGTCTTACATGTTACATGCCTATCGAACTGTGTGTACGTAGCATACGTACGTTAATTTTTATAAGTCGTTAGTTTTTATAAGTGCCTGGTGAATTCTACTATCTCTAATTCATTCTACATTCTACACTCTACGTTCCGATTCATTGCGTCCTCGTCAGTTTGAAAAGTTGCTTCTTAGTTTAACGAAAATATATAGGATGTATTCTATTCTTTCTACAAAAATTATACACGATCTTTTTTAAATAAACTGTTTGTCGTATTGTTAAAAATTAATAACTATTTATCGTGCTTTGTAATTAGAATTAGAATAAATGCAACTCGGACTCATTATTCCACCGGAAAAACTTATCTGAAGTTAACGAAAAGTGTCTCGATAATCATCAGATGAGTAATGACGAAGCTCTTCCCGCCGATAATAGCTATGAATCAATTTTTTCCAAGTAGTTAAAAATACCTCTATTGTTTCTCATCAAATATCCTTTCTTCTTGATAATACCAAACCTCGTACTGATTCGACCGATTGTTCACATTATCGTCAAGCTCGGGGCGATCGTACGAATTTGTAAATTTTGGTATCGAACACAGGCTATGACCTACGTTTCAGTCGTGCTTAAATCCGTAACTGACAACACTGTGGAAGACAATTGCGGGACATACGAAAGCTGTTTCACTACGAGAATGTTGCTTCAACACACACACGCACGCGCATAAGACAATTGTGTGTGACGTTATTTTCTCTTTCTTTTTTTTTCTTCTCATCAAGGGTATACTCGGACCCTCGAACCAATGTGTTTTGTGTGTGTGTGTGTGTGTGTGTGTGACAAGAGCGTCTATATGTGCATGTGGCTTCTTGTTTGGACAATTGCCCGACGAGCTGTACAGTTGCCCAGGGCTGATTTTGTGCAAACCGATCAATAAGGCGGAAATCCACTAATGGTATCCGGGGCTCGTTGATCGGCGCGGCCAGTACGACGACGACAACAAGCACAATCGAAAATAAGCGTCGGATAATAAATAAATGACCGTTCCGTCAGAGCCGTCCAATTGGACGTAGCCGTTCGCAAGGAAGAAACCTGTTTTATTTTCGGACGAGTTTGGAGGGCTGGGCTCCTCGTCTATTTCGAGAAGGCCGCCACTGCGGTATTGTGTCTCTAAAGACGCTGGTACTTTGCAGCTTTCGCGCGTAATTTTTCAGCTGGCGGATTTTCGTCGTCTAAATCGGACAACGACGTTTGAATCGCAGGCGAAGGGGGACCTCAATTGCATGGGAAGGACGTGTGCTGACACGAAGCACAGCGGGACGGGGCCTTCCAAAATTCCAAATTGCGACTAATGCGACAAAAAGAATTGAACGTATTTCCTAAACTACGCATAATCTAATTGTTCATGCTGCGCTTTAATTAAAATAAGCACGTTCATTTCGTACTTATGTTGAAACGTGAACGTGAACGTTATTGAATTGTATATACCTTTCATACACATCTGTGTTTCCTTATTGAATATTTCAAGTTATATTGCACATAAAGAAGAATACAATTTCATTGTTATCGTAATACTATCCTTGAATTTGCGGAATATACAATTAAAATTGGTTTATTTCAATGAACAATTTAAACAATATCTCTCTCAAACTTTGTTTAGGTCAAATTTTTACGTTTAAGTCAAACTGAAAGTTGCGTTATTACATGCTACGTTATCGAAAAGAACCTACGTATATATAGAATAAATAAATTTATTCTTCCTATCTATCGAGTCAAGCCAAGAAGATGTTATGTTTGAACACACAAGAATATTTATTGCTCATTCTCAAAATATACACGGAGACTGTGAATATTAAAAAAAAAAAAGTAGTAAACTCGTTCCACTATCGACTTCGTGTCCCAACTTAAGGCGACTTCGTGTCTCAAGTTACAGGCGCCGTTTATCAGAAATATTTGTATTTCGCGTAAAATCACCAGACATCATGCGACTAACGTGGAATAATCGTGCAAAAAAATTCTTAAAAACATATTATAAGAGAGATAAAAATAAAAATATGCAGGATACAGATTTGTATCCCGATACATGGAAACATAGAAACAGTCCTTGGGAAAAATGCGAAAAATTCATAGAAAAGACGTAGGTGCTAATATGTGGGTACAAATGTATGAATATTTAGTCGTCGTCGTCATTGTTTTCGCTTTTCACAGACGCGCGCGATCAACGATCGCGATCACAGAAGAAGTCGCGCGCTCGCGCTCACGTTCTTCGATCAATCCGCGAAACACGGGGGGGGGGGGGGTTTATGGGCGAGGGGGNTGGGTCGAACTCGCGAAACTCCAACACACACACCGCGATTACGGTAATTTCCCTCGATCGTTACACCCTCGGCGTGAGGCGTGCGAATCTGCGATGTGCGGAATGGCATGTCGCGCACGACAACTCGTCGTTCGCGCGAATGTCGCGGTTGAGCCGACAGAAAACGCGGCATATTGCGTGCGCGATTGTGCAATAAACACCGGTAGGAAATGATCGACTTCCTTCGCGGAAGTGCTAAGTTTCCTTTAAAAACGGCGATACGATCGACTGCCACGTGGCCGGCTAATTTAATGTCCATTTCTCCGCGCGGAGAACGCGTAAATAATTCCGTTTCGGAGCACATGGCTCGCGCGTGTACGAGCTCCGCTCGTGACGATATCCGCAACACGTTCTCTCTAACGAGCTCTGCTGTGCGAGAACGATCGGACAGGTTCCGTTGCTACTTGACGTTCATCAACGCACCGACGACCGCTTCCGAACGTTCGGACGAACGTCGAACGCGACGTACGCGAGACGCCGGTGTTATTTTAAAGACCGGCCGCCGATCGATCGCCATGTACGTATCTACGAAATCGGACTAGATCGGGTCTCTTTAAATCTAAATATATACCGGGTGTCAGGGTTGAACGCCCTGGGATTTCCGGTCCTTAGCGTGTGCACTTCTCGCTCTTCTCCCCCTGCCCCCCCCCCTCTCCCGGGCCGGTCTTTTTTTATTTTTCATTCGAGCACTCACGTCTCCTCGTATCCCGTTCACCTTCCCTCTTTCTGCCTCCGGCGACCTCGTTTTTTTTTTTCCACGCGAAACCCAATAGCCCTGTGTATCCTCTAGGACACTCCAGGACTATTTCCTGCGAGTATGCGTCGCTCGAGCCGGATGGGAAACCGCAAATGCAGAGCCCCATGCATACCGCCTTCCAATGGCACTGTATGCGGCGTGTGCGTCCTGCGCAAAATGAGAGTGCACAATTTTTTATTCATGCCGTAGAACATTTCGACGGATGTTTCTTTTTTTTTTGTTTTTATTTTGCCCAACGCAGACATCTCGTATAATTGTGCCTCGCCACGATGAAATCGTACGCGCATTTACGTACGGACGAAAGAGAAAGAAGTCCTTTACGCATTTTACAAGCGGCCGTGCAAATTTTCAAGTTACTTCATTCAAGAGACCTCTATACATAGACATTTTCAGTAATAACTCTGTAATAACTCAACATTCTTCGTGATTTGCAAAACGGTAAAGAACTTTTTATCTACCCAAAACTACGAGTATACGACAGATGTTCTATTTAGCGATAGACACCTTGTATAACTTGAGTATCTCCTAGACTGTAGAATTACTCTCGCAAAGGTACACCCGGCGAACACTACCTGGCGGTACCGCAACGTCAATGTTACTGAATTTTCCACTGAAAAATATAAACGCAACGTAACACGTTGCGTGTCGCGCAACATTTACATCGCCGAGCGGGGAATGATAACATGGACGTTACGTTGTTGATAATTGGTGGGTTTGCCGGATACGATTGAAATCGGAGAAGCCGCTCGCGTAGAAGCGTGTTCCCGCTCAGGTCGCGCCGCCTAATGAGCAATTACGAGCCACCGGGTGAAGGCGAATCGTGACGTTGCGTGCGACGGAGGTGACAACTTCGTCGTCGGGCCGTTCCTCGGGACTTTTTCGTCGGATCATCGGGCTATTGTTCGCGAGACCCGCTCCTTATACTCGTCGGGCACGTCGCAAAATGTGCAGGCCAGTAAAATATCGCCGGCTCGCGCGCGCTCGCCGAGCTCTCTCGGTACGCACGTGCGTGCACACAGAAGCGAAACGGTTCGTTCGGTGTGGTAAATGCACCACGGTCGGATAAGAACCCTGGCCTCGTATATAGGGGACGACAGAGGAGAGACAGCTGTGGGGCAGCTGGCAGCGCGTGCCACAAACCTATGGGGTCTCTCTCTCTCTCTCTCTCTCTTTTTCTCTCCTCTCTCCTCGAACTCGCGTACTACGATGATATCCTATATACCGTGGCACGTAACTAACGGCAGGTTTCGAACAATACGACGTTCCGCAGCGTCTATCCTTGGTATCAAAGGGAACGAGTAGCTGCCGAACGAGTGTGGCCGCGAATTATCACCGCCTGACTGCTCCCGCCGCCGAGAGAGCAATAAGATTGTTTACGATTATATTTCCGATCGTTCGCACACGGTGTTTTTGCGCGCGAGAAGAGCAGAATTAGGGACAGAGAGAACAAAGAGATGGATGTAGGAGGTATCGTTAATGATGAATGATGTCGACGTGATGATTTACAAGCCGTCGAAGCGCGCGAAATCGCGGGAATATCACGAGGAAAATGCGGGGAAAAAATTATCAAAGCTAATATTGATGCAAAAAATAATGTTGCCCCGGGAAATTGCGAAAAAGGTACGATAATATCCGTCGATCCGCCAATGTTGTCGGAACTCGTGGTTCTACGGGAATATTTATAGGCAAATATTTCGAGAAGGGACGTTTATCATTCTGTTACAGATATTTCGAAGAAACTTGGCGTTAAGTGAAGAAGGAAAGGAAAAGGGAAAAAAGAAGAAGAAGAATGGAAGTTGAGAAAATGTTGCGGTCGTTGCCTCACGGGAGAGGAGATTTTCATAAATACGTAAACGCACAGGTCTCGCTCTCTATTGATGAGAGGTAAGCCCGGCTAAGCTACGGGGAACAATGCGGTAACTCACGCTGAGCTTCCTATTGACCATGCGGCGCGGGCTGTATTTGAGAGCCTGACCGAACTCAGGTAAGGCGAGCTTAAGGCTAATTACGGGTGATAAATTCTATTGTTTTCCTATTCGTGCTTTCTATTATTTCCTTGTATATTCCATTTGTCACCCGAGCGACGGAAGACGGTCGGCTTGTCGATTGTCACGCTGACAGATTTGTTTCTAAGAGATTTCGCGTTTAGAATTACGTATATCCGCAAAAGTACACGAAGCTGCTGCCGGTCGCTGCGTTCAATGAGATCCTTGTTGACATGTAATTTTAAAGCGACGCGGCACGTTGAACCGCCTTCATTCCGCGGAGAATATCCGTTCACTTCCGGCCTGTGTCTAGGATTCGAATATTTGAGCCGCGCGTGCAAGGCGGCCGAAAAGGTGCGGCGCACTTTCCTCGGGAGTTTTTCACCGGCGCGAAAAAGAAAAGATCAGCGAGTTGAAAGCTTTCGGGGGAGCGGCTCGGACGGGCGAACATCTGCCGTCGTCTGTAACGATAATAATTCGAACAGCTGATGCTCCTCCGACGGACCACCGCCTCGCCGCGGATCCTGCAGGATCTCTTTGTTACCCGGCTTGTAAGATGAATTCTTGTGAGACAGAAAAGAAAGCTGTCTCACGAACGCTTCGCTGCGATCAACTTTCTCTCTCTTTCTCCCTCTCTCTCTCTCTCTCTCTTTTTCTTTCTCTCTCGCGACGGTTGTTTCAGCAATAAATTTTGTTGCCAACAACATGCGTGTCTCGTCGGAGAATGTTTTTAATACGAGTATATTTATGGTAAAGAAGTTTTGTGTTAAAAGTGGCCGGCTAAAATCTTCTGTCACTTTAACACGGGGAGTAGGTTCAAAAATAATTGTTCAATTGACGTATTTATCTTGTTAAGATAATACAGAAGTAGACCGTTTTTAACGCGAAATTTTTTACTGTATTGTAACAGCGCTGGTCTTGTTAATATACTTTTACTCTTTCGGGAAAGAAATCCTTGCGAGAATAAAAAAGAATTAATTAAGAAATAAGTTAATAAATAACATTTTGACCAATATCAAGCATTTTTCAATCAAATATGTTGTTATTCTCTCACATAAACCACGATATGATATTTTGTCTATATAATAATATAATTTCGATTCCGAGTATTACGTATTGCACATTGCTGTTCTTCCAAATTTTGCAATGATGACTACACTTGTCCAGTTGAAAAAATGTATCGTCGTTGAAGGTTACAACTCGTATCTCGACTGGAGTGCGAAAAATATTGACAAGAAAGTGCATCAATATTATTGATATAAATTTTATAATCGTACAAGAGGCATGCAGGTTCGTGTTCTCTTCAAACGAGTCAATAATAATGTTTCCGATGAAATCAGTAAAACATATTTCATCTCACACACAAACAGTGAGTATTCAATGATTTGCAGTAAAAACATTCCATTTAGCTTCTCCTATAGTCTCACACCTCATTGATTTTGACTGAGTGAATATAAAATATCATTGCAAAATCTATAGTACTCCACTGGCTGCTACTGATCCGGAGAAAAAATTTCTCATATATAATTATATATAGAACATGCCCATATATATATATATAAAAATATATACATTTATATACGATTACATATGATTATACACAATTATATATTAATATACGTATTAATCGTATATATAAGAATTACATATTAATAAATACGTTTAATAAACATATAATCATATATAACTCGGTGTATATATTTTTATATATGAACATATTCTACCTGTGACGCCTCATATGCAATGATATGTACAATTCTACATAATATTATATTTAACCACATATAAATAAATATATACAATGATAATAAAAGCTTTAGCGAGACTTCATTGATCGCAGTGCTACGCTCGCAACTAATTCCACTGTTCCTCCAACACACCGATTCCACTTTGGAGAGCGGAAAACCCCGCGAAGGGCAGCTGCCCGGGGGAAAAAGCGCGAAGTTCCCTCCGCTCGGGGGGAAAAACGGCCAACGACGACAACGAGGCGCGCGATCACGCGGAGCTGGCGCGAACCCGCGCACGTGCGCACGAGACAATCGATCAGCCGACAACAAGTCATTACCCTACGCCGTGGCGAGAGAGAGAGAGAGAGAGCATCTTGTGACTTGCGAGGCAGCGTCGAGAGCACCGGTGAGAGTCCGTCGGGGGCCCTAATCGATTCCACTTTTCGAATTTAAGCGCCCGCGCTTCCCGAGTACGCGCCTGTTTCGCGCGCGCGGGTAGGGATTCGACCAATCAGAAGCGTCCGAGACGGCGGACCAGTCGCGGTGGGCCGCTCGGCGCTCCTCATCGCTCGTAGTCGCGGCAACTCAAATGTAGTTCGACACTTGCACGTGGGACTTAGTCGGTGTCGGTTGGGTGCGCGCGCCTTGCGATCCGCCAAAAGGGCACCGTTCACGTACGCGCCCGGTGAGCACCTCCGTTTCGTCGTAACACGAGAGAGAGAGCCGCCACCCTCGACGACGGCGGCAAGAGGTGTACGCGCGGTATTCGCGTGTCTACGAAATCGGACAGAGTTGAGCATTCGCGCGTATCTCGGCCGAGAGTAGCAGTGAATCGCGCGACCGAGACTCGCAGGCTCTCTCTCGCTCTCTCGCGTAGCTCCCTCTCTCTCTTTCTCGCGCGTCGCGTCTCCCGTCGTCGTTCCTCGTCGTTGCCGAAGGATTCCCCTTGGCTTTGGTGTGTAATACTGGATTGTGTACATCGTCATTGGGATTATCAGGGTCAACGGCTCAGCGCGGCGGCGGACGACGAGCGCGCACGCATCCACAGCGCGGCAAAAGCAAACGGTAGGTAGTATCGACGAGGCTACGTCTCGTTCTTTTCTTCGCCATTTGCCCACTCACTTTCTTCCGCGCTTCGCCGACGTATCGCGCATTTTCGCGCGTAATTTCGAACGGAGACGAGCGAGCGAGCGCCCGGCGGGAGGCGGGGAGTCGGGTTTACACGGACGTCATTGGGAAATTGGGTGAGACGGCCGGATCGGGAGCGACCGAATTAGCGATGGCGATGAAATTTTCATTTCAGCCCCGGAAAACCCGGGGCCGGGCTAATTTTTCTCGCGGACGATCGATCCCCCAATTCGCCATCGGCAGGCGCGGATTATAAACTCCTCCGGCCACGTTCCACTTCCTCTCGCTCCTTCGATCGGTTTCTATTTTCGATCGGCGCGCTCCATCGGCGAGTTATTTCTTTTGGAAATAGCTCGGCCAGCCTCGCGCCGGAGAGCGCTCGTAAAAGCGGAAAAAGTCATCGGTCTCGCTCGCGCGCGTTAGCACGCGTTTAACGCGGCCCGAGCGTCTCGCACAAGGCGCTCATTGTCGCGCTCGTTAGACGAATTTCGGAGTCGCGCGCGCGCGCGCGCGGCTCATTAGCGTTGATAGCATCGTTCCTTAATTGCTATCATCACGGCGTATCGCTCGGCTCGTCCTCATCATCGCCCGCTCTCAGCAACTATGAAAGCGCGCGACAGGACTATGATGCGCAGACACGACAGCTACACGCTCTAAACTCTTAGCGCGGTTTTCTAACATGTAAATACCCGAAGCGCGTAATATTCCTAGGATATCGTATGAATATCTTTAAATATTTAAATAATATTCTTATAACGTTCCAACAATTATTAGAGAAATGTTCCATTGATGTTACATGCAGGTTTCGTATAATATTCTTGGCGTATTATAAAAATGTTCTTAGAATATTTAAAAAATTAAATAATAATAATATGGAAAAAAAATATATATACGCATATGTATGTGCATAATTTTTTAGTATGAAACGTATTTTTACACAAAATTATTTCGATCTTGTTTATGTAATGAAAGAATTGGTATTGCGATACATTTGAGATAAAAAACTACAGTTGTATATGTAAACATAGAATTGAATATTTTAAAAATATATGATATTACGATAGCATTAAATAGTATTATTTTTTACATATTATTAGGAGCGGACATGTAACCACCTATTAATATTCTAGAAGTATTATTCAATATTAAATAATACTACTAGAATATTAGTAAAATGTTACGTCTAATATTCTAAGAATATGTTATATCTAAGTATATGTTTAGAATATTACTGAATATTAAATAATGTTACGCGCTTACAGAGTAATAATAAACGTTTCACTCTCACTCAGGAGCCATTTGTACCTTTTCCAAATTACGAATTACGATTCACATGTAATAAGGTGAGCTGTTTTCATAATCGAGGAATTTCATATATCGACAACTCGATTTAGCGGTCTGATGATGTGAAAGCGATAAAAAAATTCCGCGTATCACATCCGCAGCGTGTAACATCGATTTCATACGATAAAAGGAGGAGGTGTTTTTATCTCGCTACTAAATCGTAGTCATTTCTGGCGCCAACGATATTTTCTTCGCCGTTTTAACAAAACAAACCCAGTGATCACCGAGTAACAGTAACACCACATCATTATTGTTATTTCTCGCTCAACAATGTAAGTGCGATATATAACATATGTTGCATATAACGGTTACATTGTTGAGTGGAAAATTATAACATTGCTATAATGTCATTGTTACTTGATGTTTACCGGGCAAGTATTAGCAGCAATACGCATATGTATGGAGAAATAAACTGTTGGCAAAGTAAATTTCATGTTGTCGCAGCAAAATCTGGCTCTTCGTTATAATGAAAGAAAGAAGTGCTACGTTCAAGTGAATATTTGTCAAAGAATATTAGAGTAATTATTTGACTTTAATTAAATAAATATTACGCGAATGTAGCACAGTAGAGAAGAAAATTAGTACTGTATTCAAGTAATATTTCATTAATTTAATCCTAGTAAAATAATTACTCCGATACTCCTTAGCAAATATTTATTTAAATATAGCACCTCAAGCGTATTAATTACCATTTGCTGGATTATTTCGCTGAATCTACAAATTGGCAAATGTAGGGAGACACCATTTTATTTTAACAGCAAATTAACGGCAAAATATGTTCTATTTCGGCAAGAAAATTGATTCTACTCCAATTACGAGTAATTCGCTAATTTGGTTAAGCCGACTAAATGTTATCATTGTCGCAACGAGTACGCGTTGTAGCAACGAATACACGCGGTTTCGCTACAACGGCAAGATTAATTTTCCCCGTGTAAGAGATTATTGTTATCAATAACAGCACAGTGCAATAACACTTATTGCGAAAACAAGCTTCCCGGCTGTAATTGTTTCGCCGTGCAATTACAGTCGCAAGTAGCGCAGTAGGCGCTTTTCTCTCACCCGGGCGGCACCGTCTAATGAAATAACGACTGACAAAACGACATGATCGCGTAGCCCTCGTCCTCGTCGCATTTATGTCGTTTCATCTCCGGAGGAAAATACGAAGCTCTCCTTCCAGTTACGGGAAAAGTATCACCCGCGTTCGGCGTACCGGTGACGTGTAATTCGCGACATTGAGATGCAGCGATAAAATTGGATGCATCACTTCGCGAACGCACAGAGCTCACACATACACACACAGAGCCTAGCGTGTCTCCCTGGATTTTTGGGCTCATCGATGTGATCTATACTATCAGCCGGCACGAAACACGATGTCCCGGCCGGATCTGATTTGCCGTTCGTGCTCGGGATGATCGCGTTGCGCGCGATTTTGTGTGTGTGTGTGTGTGTGTGTGTACGCGCAGGAAATTCTGTTTATCCACCGGCAAAATCTCGCGATGGCGCGTGGCCATCTTGCGCGCGCGCGCGCGCCCGTAAAACCGTCTGCTTCTTCTCTCAGCTGTCCCCTCTCAACCCCCGTTCAACGGCCTGCTCGTCGCGACAAAGGGCTGCCACGGCGACCCGGCACGTGTATGTGTTCCCCGATGTTTATTAATAAACCTCGACGGTTGTGCCCCGACGATTTCGCCGAGCCAGAACGTCTGGAAACGGGCGCAGGTGATAGCAGCTCCGCTTGAAAAAAACCGCTCGAATTGCGCCTTCGGCGTCTTTCGGCGCTTGCGCTACGTGTCCTACCGTTCTCCCCAACCCCTCCCCCTCCCGTTTCCCTTTGTGCATCCACATGGTACACGGTGAGGCGACCTTAGAGAGGACCGAAGGAGGATTGACCCCCGGCGTACGACGTATGGGAAATTTCGCGAAAGCGCGAAGCCTCGAATTTGCAGGGGGGATGCAAGCCTTAGTGTGTCGTATCTCCAACGACGCATTAGGGGGAGGGCCGCTCACAAATGTAGTATTTGTCGAGCAGAAAATTATTAAAATTTCTATACATTTATTTCACTACCCGAATAATAAATAATAATGAATATTTATTTGAAACGAGGTCGAGGTAAATGTATGTATGCAAAATATTACAAATTATATATTACAAGGAAAATGTTGTTTTTTTCTTTATTTTCCCCTAATGCTATATTTATACAGTTGGTCTAATAAATATGCACAAATAATAGATAAGAGATATGTAAATATTTAAATACACACATATGTATTTCGAATATTATTGTAGATTATGAAGTTTACACCGTTATATCTTCAAGATAAAATGACCAATAATTGTGGAATTTATATATAAAGTGTGTGCATTTTTAATATCATAGTGGTTTTTCGTCAAAATCTTATTTTTAGTTTAGAAGATATTAATTATAGAAATTAAAAATAGCACGGTAAAGCCTCTCTCAAGGAACGCGTATAAAAAGTGTCGATTTTAATTGCAAATATCTCTCGAACGGTCAATCTTTTTCTAATTGCACGAGCAGTCGGATAATATTTCAACGTATACATAGTGTAAGTTTCAACGAATCCTCGCCTTACAACCTCCTTAAATTCTTCAACTTCAAATCTCGAAGCCAGGGAAATATCTAAGGGCGGTATTCATAGCCTTATATTGAAGGACCGTCTTGAATTCATCTTCATCGCTCTACGGCTCATTTCATTGGCTACAAAGTATCTGAAGACAAACTTAAGACGACCTTACACATAAGATCCGACAATGAATACCGCCCTAAACGAGTCAAGGCCGACATTCATCAGTCAGATCTTATATTTAAGATTGTTTTACGTTCATCTTCAGATTCAGTTCCGTAGCCAATGAAATTCAGCCGTACAACATCCGAAGATGAGCTTGAGGCGCTTTTAAATACAAGATTCGTCCTAAGCTTACCTTCGGCCAACAAGGATTTATTCATGGATATGAAGCTGAACGACATAGTAACGATGCTCACGGAGAATAGCTCATCACTAAGGATATAACCCTCCATCGTCCTGAGGTTTCGCCAAACGCTTCTTCTCTTTTCCCGTAGAAACCGCCGTGCGAAAGAAACAGCGAGGAACGTGGAAGTTACGCAGTTAGCGCCGCGAAGAAGTTTCGCCAGGATTTTTCTGCTTACCATATCACGAGTGTAACGGGACCAGGCTGGCTCGAGTTATGCTAATGCTCCGTGTTCCTTCGGAAGTTCGCGAAGTTCCGCGGTTTTTTGCGAGATGTCGTAAAAATTACGGCGGCGCGCAGGACGCATCTCGCGTTCCCGTTCGTTCCGAAACTTTCGCCTTTCCCGTGCGGAAGGCAGGTTGCTCGGCGCAACATTCACTTTTTATGCTCGTGATATCACAAACGAGACGGGACACGTTTCTCCCTCTCTCGTATTTTCGAGCAGATATGCATTTGTACTCTGTGTACGTGTATGTAGTTTTCACTATACAAAATTTGAGGGGAAAAATATTTACTTACGTGTGTGATTGTTTGATTACGATTCGTCTCGTATTTTCAGTGACGCGCTTCTACGCCGAAGTACTGCACAGAAAAAAAGGACTTTCTT